TGTTTTTGGCGTGGTAGTATCGATTTTCCTGTCGATCAGAAGAGGGTTAGGATGCCGGAGCGACTGTCTTTTCTGCTTCTTCTGTGGCTGGTCCACAGTCTTCGCCACCTTTGAACTTCGTATAACGAAGGTGAAGATGCTTTCCTCTCTGATGAGCCAGCGGCTGATCAAGCTGACCGATCGAGTGTCATCGACACGACATCGCGTGAAAGATAACCGACACGTCCTACGCAAAGTTTGTTACTTTGCATGGCGTCATAAAGAATCGCCCGAAAACGCGATCGAGAATCGAATCCACCGATTGGAGCAGGCTCTGCTAAATCTCTTGCCTGTGGCGGCTGCTTCCACCGTTTCCGCTGATGATGCAGGGCTTCCTGCCAAGCGGTCTCGCGCTGTTTCAGGCGTTCCAGATTATTCCTGTCATTCCGAGGGCGATGCTGAGGCGGCAGCCAATGGTTTAACCTTTGACCCTCGTGACGAAGCCGTGGCTCTAGAGCCGCACTCGAATAAGACTACAATACATCCAGAGTGAGAATCGCGCTGTCGCGATGGTAGGGCTTGAAGATCCCTACGTCGAACATCGGATAGGTTCTTAGCCAGCTTGGCAGGTCGATAGTGTACACATTCCATTGGCATGATACTACCCGGAATAGACCGATGAAGCGAGGTAAAAACTTCGATCCCCCAAGCTTGAAGGCACATCGTTTGACAGGTTCCAAGTATTAAGTAGTGAATAATAACCCACAATAAAAGACATTTTACCTCGACGACCTTGTCTATCTTCGTAATCTATATGCAGATCTTGCGCATTCTCCATTGCGTCTCCACCCGCGTGATCACATTCACCGAACTCAAAAAACCAAAGCAATCAAACAAGTCTTTTCAAAAGTCACTCGTAAATTGTGCATCACGATCAGCGACGATGGCGTACGGCAACTCGTGATTGCGAAAAACAAATCAATGAACAATCTAGCCGAATTTTCGGCATCGATGATCTCGTCGCACTGACCGATGCGAACCATCTTGCTGAGCCTGTCAAAAAAACGAACACCCCATTGTGGCCGTCAGCTTTCTCGAGGAAGTCGAATATATAGTCGAGGCCGACTGACTTCCAACAACCAATGAGCCAGGAAAACTCTGTAGTGGCACTTGCGTAAGCCTTGCGCTCTTTACTCGCTGATAAGCCTCGCATGTTTGTACGTACGTGCCACCACTTGTACATGTGGAGCCACCAGAATTGGGTCTGAGAGACCGGTG